GAACCTTCTGGGATCCCTGAATGGCTAGCTTGTGTGTGGCCAAGAGGGATCCCTGAATAACTAGCCTGTATTAGGGTTAGGCCGTAGATGACTGTAGAGAGTCAGAGCCTCCTGGGATCCCTGAATGGCTCGCTTATGTGTGACCAGAGGGACAGGCCACATATGGCCAGAGCAAGGCGGGTGGAGACTAGAGACAGAGCATTTTTTGTGGTGGCACCTCACCTCAACAAATCCCTCCCCCTTGAGGCTCGCCTGGCACCTACTTAACTGTCATTTAGGGGCCAGGCTAAAACATATCTTTCAACCCAGGCTTTTTATGCGTGGGTGTTTTTCTCACCACCACTAGAGACAGAGCATTTTTTGTGGTGGCACCTCACCTCAACAAATCCCTCCCCCTTGAGGCTCGCCTGGCACCTACTTAACTGTCATTTAGGGGCCAGGCTAAAACATATCTTTCAACCCAGGCTTTTTATGCGTGGGTGTTTTTCTCACCACCTTTTTCATGGAAAGGGTTCTATGCTGTTTGTGCCCCATGGTTTGTGTTCTAACGGCTTGTTCGGGGTAGTGGTTAAGTGCACAGACTCTCATCTGGGAGAACCGGGTTTGATTCTCCTCTCCTCCACTTGCAGCTGCTGGGATGACCTTGGGCAAGCCATAGTTCTGATAAGAGCTGTTCTTGAAAAAGAGCCGTTTCTGTCAGAGCTCTCTCAGCCCCACCTGCCTCACAGGGTGTCTGTTGTGGGGAGGGGAAGGGAAAGGAGTTTGTAAGCCTCTCTGAGACGCTCTGTGACGCCTTTGGGTAGTAAAGGGTGGGGTATAAATCCAATCTCTTCTTCTAAGTCCTTAAGCAGCCAGGGACCAGTTTGGTGTCGTGGTTAAGTGCGCGGACTCTAATTTGGGAGAACCGGGGTTGATTCCCCACTCCTCCCCTTGCACCTGGCTGGATGACCTTGGGCAAGCCATAGTTCTGATAAGAGCTGTTCTTGAAAAAGAGCCGTTTCTCTCAGAGCTCTCTCAGCCCCGCCTGCCTCACAGGGTGTCTGTGGTGGGGAGGGGAAGGGAAAGGAGTTTGTAAGCCGCTCTGAGACTCCGAGTGAAGG